CCGCCACAACGCCCGGCTATTTTTTGGTTGCAGCCATCATTGTTGCTTGGCGGGTCCGGGCTGGATTCAAACCCGCCACCTTAGGTGTACGTGGCTGGCGCCTTAGCCGGCTGAGCTACAGGCGCCGAGCCCAGAATGCTGTTCTTTTAAAAATTTTTTTTTTCTGTGTGGGCAACATGGCCTTTACTTAGGTAGGAATGGGCTGAGTCTGAAAAAGAAGTCAGCTTAGATTTTTTTAAAGGCTATCAAAAAGGGTTTGATTATATCAGATAATCTGAAGGGAGCAGAGCTACTTCAGTGCAATTAAGGCATAGTAAAATAATTTGACCTTTGACACTTGCAAGGTATATCACTATAGCATAAAATTTCCTTTCTGTATGTGTTTTTACTTTAATTTTTATTTTATTTTTGTTTTTGAGACAGAGTGCCACTATGTTGCCCTCGGTCGAGTGCTGTGCTCATAGCAATCTCAAACTCTTGGGCTTAAGTGATTCTATTGCCTCAGCCTCCTGAGTAGCTGGGACTGTAGGTGCCTGCCACAATACTGGGCTATTATTATCATTTTTTTCTTTTTCTTTTTGGTTGCAATTGTCGTTGTTCAGCAGGTCTGGGTTGGGCTTGAACCCACTACCTTCAGTGTATGTGACTGGCATCCTGCTTACTGAGCTGCGGGCACCAAGCCATTGTGGGTGTTTTTAAAGGAGTTAGACTCTCACTCTGTTGCCCAGGTTGGAGTGTAGTGGCAATGTGTTTGTAGTTCACAACAGTTTTGAGCTCCTGGGCCCGAGAAAGAGCCTCCTACCTCAACCTCAAGGTAGTTGGTATTATAGGCATGGGCCACCATGCCTGGCTTAATTTCCATTTAAAACAGGAATATAATTTTTTTCCTACTATTATGTATTAAATGAGAACCTTAATTTCAGTTGAGATGAAAGTGCTAGGCAAGGCTTAATAGTTCTGATAACCTACTTCGTTTCATCAGTTCAAAAGGATAATTTAAGCTTTTGGCTGAACAAAATGACAAGTCACAAGGGTGCTTTTATATAGTTCATTGTCAACATTAAATCCTTAAGTACTCTGTTCCTTATTCTTGCCTACCTATTTTCCATTTATCTTTCATGTCTCAATTTAAATGTCATGTTTCTTAGGTTTCAGAGCCATAAAGTAAATTATACTTTTCTTATTTTTATTCTGCTATAAGCAAAGCACACATTGATGTTGTTGGGGCATTGTTTTGATGTATTTTTAAGAAAATATTTAAAATATGGAAATGTTAAGGAAAATCACGTGCGTTTGATCACAGTGTGCCTTTGGTTGTGTATTTAGATCTAACTATGTGTTAATATCATAGTCTAAAATGATGTTTGATATATATTCCTCTAGGTAAATGTGTGTGTCCTGGAGTTCTAAACCATGAGTCTGGCACTTAATGATCTGCTTATTTGCTGCCGTCATCTAGAACATGATAAAGCTACAGAACGAAAGGTAGTAAATTAAATTTAATCTTTCCTAAAATCAAGGGTGTGATTATTAACTCATTATTGTATTCATTTTTCATTTTCAGAAAGAAATTGAGAAATTTAAGCAGCTGATTCGAGATACTGAAACAGTTAAACATTTAGATCGGCATTCAGATTCCAAACAAGGGAAATATTTAAATTGGGATGCTGTTTTTCGGTATTCTATTTCAATTTATTTTTATTATCTTTTTCTCTTTAATTTTTATTTCGGTTGTGGTATTTTTGTAAATCTTATTTATTTTTGTTCCCTGTATAACATTATGCTTGCATATGCATTTGGCACTTAACATTTATTCAAAACATAGTGTTTGAAGAATATTTATTCAGAGTTTAAGATTTTAAATCATTTGTTCAATAAAATGTCTTAGGCTAGACATGGTTACATGGCTCATGCCTGTAATCCTAGCAATCTGGGAGGCTAAGGTAGGTGGATCACTTGAGCTCCTGAGTTTGAGAGCAGCTTGAGCAAGAGCAAGAAAAATAGCTGGGTGGGGGTTGTAGTGGTGCCTCTGGTCCCAGCTACTTGGGAGACTGAGGCAAGAGGATTGCTTGAGCCCAAGAGTTTGAGGTTGCTGTGAGTTATGATGCCACAGCACTCTACTGAGAGTAACAAAGTGAGTCTCCATCTCAAAAAAAAAAAAAGAAAGAATGTCTTAGACACATTTTGATCAAGACTGAAAATTTATTAATAAGACTTTGTTTCCAATTACAGAAAATATTAAGTTATAATCAAGGTTCAATTATTATTTTGACACATTATGACACCGTATTGCACTGATTAAAAGGAACTTCTGTATATTAAATTGCACTCAAACAAGTAAAAGAAAGATGAAAATATGTGCATATGCATTTGGTTACAAAACAACCTCAAGCCACGAAAAGACAATTGATGTTAGACTGGTATGGCAAACAGAGTTGATGCTTTTTTTACATTGAGACACAATTTTCAGCTATCAAGTCTGTTTGTAACTAGAAATAAATTGTGAGGATTAGGAAAGATGAATAAAATATTTTATATTTTTGTAGAGTAATCAGAGTACTAAATAAACTTGGAACAACTTTCGTAGTCAAGAGGAGCTGTGAGTGTTAGTTGTTGTTGAATGTTCAGAGCAGATAATCTATTTCATTTTTTAGCTCCTATTTGGTACTAAATTGTTATACATTTGAATGCATAAACCAAAAATTGCATGCTTTTCTTCTGGTTACTTAGTTTATTTTACATACCGCAAGTAGAGTTATTACCTGAAGATGAATACTGTTTTGTCTTATTTTTGTTTATTTACTTTGAGTTACTGTTTCAGTGAATATTATTTTGTATAAGCTGATCAGGTAGGCCAAATATATGTGCAGGATTCCTGAGTAGTCCTGAATACTAGCAGGCAGACTTCATTTAAAGACTAGAAACGTTACCAACTGTGTAGGTAAGAGGTAGGTAATATACGGGGTGTCTATAAAGTTTGTGTGCAGTTTAAAATAGTTGTAACTTTTTAAGTACACAGAGTTTAAAGAAGATTGAGAGCCCTTGCTAGCATTGTTAGCTTTAAATGATAAAATGAGAAAGCAGGCATGAAAGCAGGAGAAAATCAGGGAAGATTAAGAGCTTTGCAGATCACATTTTAAGTTTGTGTTGTGGCTCGGTGCCTGCGGCTCAAATGGCTAAGGCACCAGCCACATACACCTCAGATGGCGGTTTTGAATCCTGCCAGGCCCGCCAAAAACAACTATGATGGCTGCAACCAAAAAATAGCTGGGTGTTGTGGTGGGTGCCTGTGGTCCCAGCTACTTGGGAGGCTGAGGCAGGAGACTCGCTTACACCTAGGAGTTGGAGGTTGCTGTGAGCTATGATGCCATGGCACTCTACCCAGGGGGATAGCTTGAGACTCTGTCTCAAAAAAAAAAAAAAAAAGTTTGTGTTGTAGGAGTTATGCCTTGAAAGAGACATATAATTGTTTTGTTTGTTTCATTTAGCCAATGATCAAAATAATGTGGCTTTAAAAGATGTTCTTTGTGACGGTATGAAGGACTTTTTGAAATTATAACAATTTAAGTTATGTTATTTGTATTTATTTAAATTATTTATAACATTTAATGAGTTTCTGAAATTGCATTTTGTTTCCTTAAAGATTTTTACAGAAATATATTCAGAAAGAAACAGAATGTCTGAGAACAGGAAGACCAAATGTATCAGCTTCAACACAAGCCTCCAGGCAAAAGAAGATGCAAGAAATCAGTAGTTTGGTCAAATACTTCATCAAATGTGCAAATAAAAGTAGGTGATATTTTAGTTACACATAAATGGCATAAGTTAGTTACTGTTGCATAAGTTTGATCTGAATACGGTAAGATAAAAATTGAGTGCTGGCTTGGTGCCTGTAGCTCAAGCGGCTAGGGTGCCAACACACTGGAGCTGGCGGATTTAGATCTGGCCTGGGCCTGCCAAACAACAATCACAACTACAGCCAAAAACCTGCCAAACAATGACAACTACAGCCAAAAAATAGCTGGGTGTTGTGGCGGGTTCCTGTAGTCCCAGCTACCTGGGAGGCTGAGGCAGGAGAATCGCTTAAGCTTAAGAGGTTGAGGTTGCTGGGAGTTGTGACTGCACGGCACTCTACCCAGGGCGACAGCTTGAGACTCTGTCTCAAAAAAAAAAAAAGTTGAGTGCTGACACTACTTTCTGGCACATGTAACAATTTTTAATACCAGAAATTTAAATATTTGGAGGATTGAAGGAGTTAAAAATTATTATATACTTAGCCTTGCATTCTCTCTATACATCCTTAGCATTTAAGTAGAAGTGGTCTTACTGATTAAACATACCTGTGAGGCTTTCTCTTCTATTTTGGTACAGCATTAAGAGTATTAAAAACTTGTCTTCTTTTGTTATTGCTTCTTCTGAGATGATATTACAAAATCCTTATCATTTTTTCTTTTCTTTTTTTTTTTTTGAGACAGAATTTCACTATGTTGCCCTCGGTAGAGTACTATGGCATCATAGCTCACAGCAACCTCAAGTGATTCTCTTGTCTCAGCCTCCCAAGTAGCTGGGACTGCAGGCGCCTGCTGGCTTTTTTTTTTTTTTTTTTTTTTTTTTGTAGTTGTTGTTTAGCAGGCCTGGGCCAGGTTTGAACCTGTCTGTCCTGGTGTATGTGGCTGGCGCCCTAACCATTGAGCTATGGACGCTGAGCCCAAATATCTCCCATCTTTAACTAATACAGTTGATAGTTTAGACCTAAATACAGGTTCCTAGTAAGCTTTCGTAAGGAAATGGGCTTTACAGGATTGAAAAACTAGAAGCAGAAATAATTGTTTAGGGACTTTTGAGCTCAGACTTATATACTCTTCACAGATAAGAATGTGGCTTTGTAATACCGACTTTAAGAATCGGGAAAGCCCAAATGTTGGTAAACATTTAGCAGAAGCACATAGGTTATTAGTGAATGATATTTCAGAATGGTAGTATGAGACTTGAGTTTAGAGAATAATGTTTAGCAGATTTTCCACCTCTTGAGATGCCAATTTGTATGGATAATTGCAGGCCCTTGTCAGACACACTAGCAGAAACAAAGGAAAGCTATAGTGAAATATTTCATGCCTGCTTTTGTTCTGTGTGGTAGCCTATATCCAGTAAAGTATTGTACTGTTGACTAGTGACATTGAGATTTTCATATGTACTTGATGAGTGAATGACAGAAATATGTTGTGCTATTTTTGTAGCTCACTAGAAAAGTTTGCAACTTATATAGTGATTTTGCCTTGCAGTGAAAAAAACCTTTAAATTGCAAAATTAACAATAGAGATTATATTTGAAATTGTATCAATGGTTGGTTTACAAGAACAAGTGGGTGAAATTATCAATGAAATAACCTCCGTCTCTACTAAAGATAGAAAAACTAGCTGGATGTTCAGACGGGCACCTGTGGTCTCCGTTAATTGAGAGGCTAAGGGGGAAGATCACTAGAACCCAGGAATTTAAAATTGCTGTGAGGTAGGCTGATGCCTGGCCCTTGAGCCTGGGCAAAAGGTCAAGACTCTTTTCTCAAGAACAAAGCTATATAATTAACCAAACAAAAAATAAAGGACATTTACAATGTCAAAGCTATTCCTGTTCAAAAAATAAACCAGAAAAAGGAAAACATCCCTACCTGTGTTCTCAGTAATATACTACTAATAGAGTAGGCTACTCACTCAGTCAACAGCTAATTCTGTGAAGTGTTCTCTGGTTTCTTTTGTGATGTACAGAGAGGAAACCATGTAATTGCTGAAATTGATGAATGGAAGTCAGTAGATGAATAAATGGTTGTTTATAAATAAAATTATCAGTGAAACATCATTTAAATAGTTGAAAAATGGTGTTTTTATTTAAGGCTTCCTTTTTTTTCAAGTTTGACTCTAACGTAAACTTCTTTAATCTTGCAGTGAAATGGGGGAATTACTGTTACTTCACCTCACTTCTTCATTTGTTTTTCTCAAAAGGTTGGAGGGTTTTGATGGGAATTTAAACATACCTAAGGTATGATGAAAGAAACAGAGATTAGGAAAAAGTTGAAAGGTAGCTATTGGGAAGGATCAAGTAAGAAAATGTTTATTCCTTCCTGTTAGCATTTGTTGGCTTTTGTACATAGTGTAGACAGAGCCTAGAGAATGGAAAATCTAGTTGTGAAAAATGTTAAGTTGTATTGAGGTTCTTTAAAACTCTTTTCAGGCAACTTGGCTGTCCTGTTTTAGAAAATTTTTCTGAATTTTTTAGAAAGAAAAAAACAATTCTTGAAACACTTCTTAAATTTGGCAAATATTGGCATAAAGGACATAGGAAAATATGATTTCATCTTTATATTAATTTAGTTACTCAACAGTTTTCATTGAACATTTACTATTAGGGCAGTCACTGGGATTTCTATGAGGATATAGAGATTAACTAATTCCTTTCCTTAAGGATCCAGTAATACACGGGACATTATAGATAAGGCAGTGTTATGAGGACTATAAGAGAAAGATGGTCAGGGTGTTATAAAAGAGGATCGTATGGGTTGTATATTTCATCACTGACCGAGCCCTAAAATTATGAAATAAGCCATCATTAAAAATGATTTTGCAGTTATATCAGCGTATATTTATTTATCATAGTCTGATACTTCTGAGTATGATAATTAGTCTTATCAAATCCCAATCTGTGGTATATTCTGATTTACATAATGAGTTCTACTCTGCTCATAGCTTATAACAATAAATATGTTACATTCAATTTGAAGATTAAATAGCAATATGGTTTACTGAAAATAATGACTTAACTGTCTTTAATGTAATTTTGCTGCCTTCAAAATATGTATGTATCAATGTGGGATTTTCATACTCTCAAATAAAATGCTTTTAAAATTACAGTCTTACCTATTGTATGCAATATGTTCTATTATAGGACTTAGAAGGAATTTTGCTTTTCTTTTTTTTTTTTTTTTCTTTTTTTTT